TGCGGACTGCAAATCATCCAGTGAGTTCCCAAAACTGGCTACAAAGCGTGGAGACATCAAGCGAGCAGGGTTGCCAAAGAAGTTTCTCAAAGGGGAATATCAGTTACTCTTTGAGTTCATCAACAAGGTGTTGGTACCACGAACAGAGAAAAGAACTGTAGCATCTGCTGTTGATATGTTTCTCATGGAAAAGTTGGATGAACTTGAGGAAATTAATCTCCCTGCTATAATGCTTGAACTTATGCACAGGGTTATGACTTGGAAACGGGCTAAACATGGCATCCCTTATGGCTACCTGTTGAATTATGTGTTCAAACATTTAGAAGTGTCTTTGGGAAGAGGAGTACCTGGTACCACCAAACAAATGTTTATTGATGTCACCCAGTTGGAATGTGAGTGTGTTGAAGGGAAGGCTAGAGGCAGGTCTCAAGTGGCAGATCTTATAGAACAGCAAGCCTCTCTTAAACGTGAGTTGATTGATCTCACTGCGATCTTAAATGATAAGGAGGTTGAAATTGCGCAACTAAAATCTATGTTGCAGAAGGCTGTCTCAAAAGGACCTGGTACCAGTGGTGTGGATGATCAAGTGGTGCAACAGTTGAGGGATGAGAATGAACTGTTGCTGAAGACAAATGCCTCACTCAGTGAGGAAGTCAAGGCTCTCAACAAGCAAATTATCCAGGCTCATGAGGCTGCAAATGAGCGGATGTCCTTGCTAATGCGCACCCTTAATCCCCTTCCCCCTCTGTCCTAAACAAGTCATGTATTCCTAGTCTTTACATTCCTGTGTCAAAACTCTAGTGGCTATGTGTACTGTTTTGACTGACCTCTGTGGTCAGCTTTTGTGATCTAATGCTAATCGTTCCTGTGCCCTGCTTAGTATGGTTTAATATTCTCTTTCTGCTTACATGTTCATGCTCTGTGTGGCCCATGGCCCTAAATTCTTACATGCTTTGCATATAACTCGCATATGTTTACTGTTACTCCTTTTCAATGATGTCAAAAGGGGGAAGTTTTGGGTAAACTGATGGGTAAACTGTTGTGCAATCAGAAGGGAACTGAACTAAGGGGAAAGAATAGTGACATGGGGAACTAATGTAATTTTGAATGAATACTTAACACTCATGTGAGGTTGCTTGTAGGTTGTTTGTCATCATCAAAAAGGGGAAAAATAATATGTATTAATGCTTGTAGATGTTTTGATGATCTCCTCACAAGTGCAGGGACCCGGTCCTCTGCAGAGTATGTTCGTCCAGGATTATATGTTGTACATCTGGCAAGCTGTCACTTCAGCGGTTGGTGAGGCGCCAGTGTCCTGAACCAATCAGAACGAGCGAGGTTGTTTGTACATCGGTCAATAGCCTTTCATGGTTGATATATTCAACACACAAACAACATTTTACTCATTCATTCAAAGAGAGATATTCAAGCTTCAAAACAGTAGGGACCTGATAGATTGCATTATTGCTTCCTGTACCAGTTGTTACTTTTGACTGCTTGTAATTGTGCGTATATTGTAGGAATCGTTTCGCTTGTGATAGAAACGTTTCAATCTTGGGTGAATCTTTGTAAGAACTTAGTTGTGAGTAACTTAGTGTCTTACTTCAAAGTCTATATTAATCAGTAGGGTTAGTATAGTGGGCAGTGTTGTATCCGCTTAGGCTCGTTTAAGTAATAGGTTGTATTACTTAGTGTGGAGATTAGCAGGTTAATCTCATGTTGTAAACTGTGTTTTACTTTTGCTTGTGAAGTTTAATAAAAGCAGTTTGAAAATCCCTGTGAGACAGGTCGTGATTTTACTCCCTTGAGCAAGGAGGTTTCCACGTAAAGTTGTGTGTACAATCTTTACTTTCAGCATTTATTTACTTTATGTTATTGTAATCGTGTTAAAGACCTGGTCCTATCGTAACTAGTGAACGCATACATTTCAACAACCTCTAATGTCTCAAAAAATAGTTTAGCAAAGTGGTCGAAGTGGTACGACTCCCACCAAAAATTCAGTTTTAAAAGACTTTCCCAAAAAACTATAATGAAAATCCAATGCATGAATCAAAACAGTATCACAAACATGTGAAATCAGGTGTCAAATGTAATACATGCCATCACCAACATTCAAACAATACCAGTCAAGTAGTTAGATAAACACTACCAATACTACCACACTCTCAGAGCACATGAAACTAACTTGAAATCCAGATGGTCCTCGACCAAGGCCTCGGGCCAACAATATATCAACATCCTCAACAATAACAACATAAAGGCTCACCAACACGTATAAAACGAAGGAAATAAGGAGTTTCAACAAATCAACGTGGAAATACTTCAAGGATCGATGCCTTACCCCGAACGTACTATCTAACGACAACCTAGCCTAGCTAAAGACAACCTACGACTACGAAAGCAACTAAGGCCTGAGCACTAACGAAAGGATACCCATAACAAGCACTATAGGTAGAACCAAACAACTAAACTGATCGCTAGAACACATTCTAAAGCATCTTAGTAACAAACTAAACTAAGGCCGGAGTATCAATTCTAAGGAGGATAACTATGCCAACTACACCAACACCAAGTCGCTACTAGCCTAAGCTAAAGATTCCGCTACCCAAGGCCAGCTGAAAGTTCCTACAAAATTCAAGCAAATGGAACAGAAGGGAATGAGTCTTAAGCTCAACAAATACAATCCCATATTACATGTGAGTCATAATAAACATTATCTAATAAAGAACAATCAAGAAAAAGTAAACCATATCCTACATCCTCGAAGCTGATCACGCGCGTTTTCAATATGTTGAGCTGGAGCTTTCCTTTTCCGAAACACCTCCGATCACCGCCACACTATCATAATATTGGTCATGACATAAAAACATGCGTTTAGGCACTAAAATCACAATAATTAGAGACATACCCAAAATCGAGTAAAATATGAGAATATGGGACCCGTACCGAAAATCTCAAAATTGACTCTGTCAACAGGTCCTAATTAACTTGCAGAGTTTGTGTCTCAAAATGGGACACAAATTAAATGGAGCTTGGCCAGCCCTTCGGTACAAGAAAATACTTTCAATACGAGCCCCATGCACTGCCCCAATGACCCCACAATGATGCCCTATTGAAATCTGACACAACGCAACTGAAAACTTCCAAATAGGAGCTCCCTAGTTCAAGAATTTGAATTTAGAAATATGGAGCAGATGTTTATTTTCGAGTTGATCTTTAATTAAATGACCAGTCAACAGACCTTCGCGAAGGCGAGACCTAGTTCGCGAATGTGAAGCGTCAGGCCCTAGAGCTCCGGCGACATGCATCCCATCCCGCGAAAGTGGAGGGTCAACTTGCTGGACCTTCTCAAACGCGACCCACACTCGCGATGACCAAACACCCTAGTCATTGTGAACGCTGAGGAGAACATCACTAGTCACTGTAACCTGAGGCGCGCAAACACGAAGAAGAATAGGTGTTGCACTAGCTGGTGCAACAAGGCTCAAAACCCTGATGGGGTGCTCGAGATTCGTTCGGAATCCTGTACACGCAAACGAAATATCCTACACGACCAAATTCGAAATTCCAGACTTAACTAAGATGTCGAAAACTTCTAACCGAGACCGTTGCGATAAAAAGTGGGTCCCACATCCAAACTCCGTTTCAAGTCAAATTCCATAAAGGAGCTCGAAATGAGCTTGGAAGCCTCGGAATCCGCACCAAAGGTCCTTCAAGACCAACCTCGACGTTTAGGAGCTAACGGAACCGTCATGAATGCATTCTAAGGCCGTCAACCTTAAGTTTTGACCGAAGTCAACCGTTCAAGTTTCAAAACCTCCAAAAAACAGAAACTTGAACTAAACCCAAACGAACGACCAGACGACCGAAATGTTAGTCCCAGTAAGTCATAAATGGCTTGGGGTTGCTACATGAAAGCTCTAAACACCAAAAAGTAAAAAAAAAATATAGTAGAAAATGACCTAAATGATCATTACACATGATTCCCATTGCATCAGGAGAAGTTGGTTAAGAAACTTATCAACAATTGAAATTAATTTTAAAATGTTTATAGTAATGTATGTAGTATTTAAAAATATAAGTGAAAAAAATATTTATCTATAACTTTAATAAAAAATATATTTAAAATATCAATAAAAGACCTTCAGGCAAGTGAATGATTGAGTATGAAGTCTCAACATAATTTTACATGCTTAATACTTTGAAATATAAAGTTAAGGAAAATTAGATAAATATTCATTCGAACTCAATAATCACTTATTACACAATATGGCCCATTCGACAATTTTCATTTTTCAAATAATGCATTTTAGCCCCATTGCTTTTCCTTTCTTCTTCTCTTGTTAATTTCCAAATTCCTCTTCACCCCACTCGATTAAAGCTAATGTATCTGTTGTACATTTTGTTTTTCATCTCTTCAAATACCAATACATCTTCTACTACTAATCTACTGACATCCATGATTGTCAAGAGTCCATTTCTAAACATTTCTTGAGCTCCCATGTTGGAGAAATTCATGTGGGAGATGTTGAATTTATGAATAATATATCAAAACACTCGAAATATAGAGATGAGTTCATATTTAAAATTTTGGGATTACTTAGAAAAAATTTGAGTTGGCTGAAATTGAAAAAGAATAAGCTCGTTGAGGAAGTTGAATTACTGCAATGTATAAATAATGTTTATAAATGTATATACATCTTTGATACATAGTTATACATTATATATATACACTATTGATATATTATATAATAATTTATACAATTGACAATATAACTATTTCTTTTGATTTTTCATTTGGTGTCCGCTATCCACATTAGAGTTCGACTAATCAGAATTTGAGCCGAGTAAAACCCTATTCAGGAAAAATACTACCTACCATAATTATTATTTTTTCCATATAAGGGCTCAAACCCGAGACATGGAACAACATATGAGTATTTTGTTCAGGTATATAATTATGTAAAGCCCTAAAATTTGTGACCAATAGTTCTTTATATCGGCTGCGGTGTGCAGTTCCACACGAATAGAAATAGGAATACTCGTATGAAGTTAAAAGCCATTTTGGTTCGAATTCGTCTCTCTTTCCTTACAACTTCCCCTTTACTTCTTTAGCCGTACAAGGGTTTATTGTGCGTAATTGGGAAGCTGTGTTTCTTTCATTTGTATGTATAAGATTGCAGAAAGGATAATTGAGTTGAATTGTGTTGTTGAAGTTGGGAATTATGGTGAAATCGTTTGAGAATGGGGTATCTGTTGCACCATTCTTGTTGAAGTGTTATGAAATGGTGGAGGATGAGTCAACGGACGGCTTGATTTCTTGGAATCAATCTGAGAAAAGTTTCATCATATGGGATGTTCCTAAATTCTCATCTGAATTGCTTCCTAAATACTTCAAGCATAGCAACTTCTCCAGCTTCATTCGTCAACTCAACATCTATGTAAACTCTCTTTTTCCCTTTGATTTCATTTCAATTTTTTTTAATTGTGTTGGGTTTTGATGGTTCTGAGTTGGGTTAGTGATGTAATTAAATTCCTTTATAGGAAGGAAAGTATGGAGAATCAAGAATCTGGATTAGATTATTTTAGTTCTAACAATTGAGTAGCTTGATTACTTTGGAGTTAAGACCACTTCTTTGGGCAGTGATCTGTGTGTGTTTGTGAAGTTATAAAGCATTCAAATGTTTTTTCTTTTTATGGCAATAAATTGTGAACTAGTACCAGACCAACAATCCAATACACCTATGGAGCATCTATACTCTCAAACACCTAACTGATAGACCTCTATTATACTAATTACAGAGTTGCTGAATTAAATCTATATTCTTCCGCCCCCTTTTTTGATTCCGTGAACATGTCTATCCGATCCTTAATTACATGCTTTATTTGTTGAATTACAAAAACTGCTAGTCATAGTGACCCCGCTAAAGATTTTATGATTCCTAGCTTGCCAAATATAGTAAATTATAGCTCCATAAGTCAGCTGCAATAACTTCTTTCCTGAATCTAGTCCAGTGCTTCTGGTTGATGCCTTTGAGCATGAGCTGAACCCCTTGAATATGCATTCTGATTCCAGTCCATATCTGCATTGCATTCCAAACCTCCATGATGCATACACACTGTGAGAATAGGTGCTCAGCATTCTCCGCCATATCTCTATTACAAAGAACACATGTTTGGTTGCCTTTATCCAATCCCATCTTGTGAAGTCTATCTTTAGTTAGTAGTCTTCCCATCTCAGCAAGCCAGAGGATGAACCTGTGCTTTGGTATTGCGATTCTGTTCCATATACCCCAGTGCTATCAAGTAGTGGCCATTTCCAGTCAAACAATAATAAACATTCACATACCAATCATGCATTCTTGACTTTAGTTTATGCAGTGCCCTCCAGTACCACCTACAGTCTGTATTAGCTCCCTTTATCCAGAAGTTTGTGTCATTGTTCATATAAATTCCATGAATCCATCACAACCCACAGTGAATCCTTTCTCTCCATTAACCACCAAACAAGCTTTCCCACTGATGTTATGTTCCATAGTTTACATCCTTTAATGTTTAAACCACCTTGCTTCTTTGGTCTACAAACATTTTTCCATGCCACTAAGGCTACCTTCTTCTTCATTTCTGTACTTCCCCACAAGAATTCTCTACACTTTTTATCCACTTCCTTGATCACACTCTGTGGAAGGAGAAATACGGCACCCCAAAAGTTATGCTGAGAAAACAAAACAGAGTTAATAATCTGTAGCTTGCCTGCATAGGAAAGGTGTCTAGTTGAGACTGCTTTGAACTTTTCAGTGATCCTTGTACATAATTGTTGACATTCTATTTCAGTCTACTTCCTTGGCGACAGTGGAAGGTCCAGGTACCTCATAAGGAACTTGCCTAGCTCAAGGCCCGTCAACTCCAGTAGTCTTTGCCTCATATCATCCTTCACTCCTGCTAGGTAGATACTTGATTTCTCAGAGTTTGCCCTTAGACCAGTAGCTCGAGAGAAATGCAATAAGGCCTCCCCCACTCTTTTTACTGATGCATCATGCCCCTTATAAAAAATTATCAAATCATCTGCAAAGATGTGGTGATTCATATTCAGATTTTTACACATAGGATGGTGGTTGAAATCAGGCAGCCGGCTCATCTTAGTCAAGATCCATGATAGATATTCCATAATCAGTACAAATAGCAAGGGGAAATGGGATATCCTTGCCTTAATCCCCTCTTCCCTTCAAAAAAATCCATGGCAGTCCCCATTTACATTGCTAGAGAAGTTGGTTGTCACACAAGTCATTATAAGTTGGGAAAACATAGGTGGGAAACCATATCCTTGTAGCATTTTTTCAACAATTTCCATCTTACCATGTCATACGCTTTGCGCAAGTCAATCTTAATCAAACACCTTGGTGTAGTCTTCCTTCTATAGTGCCTCATCAAATCGTGGCAAATGAGAACATTATGCACTAATGATCTACCTTTATGAAAGCAGCTTGTGTTTCATTTACCAACTCCTGTAGTACCTTCCTCAATCTTGCACTTAGAAGGTTAGAGATACCCTTATAGATCACATTACGTCAAGAGATTGGTCGAAATTGACTTGCATTTTGTGGCTTCGCAATCTTAGGAATTAAAGTGATCACGGTCGCATTCAGTTGCCCCAACATTTTACCATTCTTCTTAAATTCCAAAATGGCATCTGTGACTTCTTCCCCGACAGTGTCCCAAGCGTCTCCGAGAAAACCACTCGTGTAACCATCAGGTCCAGGGCTCCTGGTTGTCTTTATACTGAAGATAGCATCCTTAACCTCCTTCATCGTATACTCAGCTAGTAGTTGCATCTGTTGCTTCATTGATAATGTCTTCCCATTCTTAAAAAAAACATTAGAAGCTTTTTGTTTTTGTACTGTGCCCACCTCACCCAATGGTTTTTTATGATATTCCACAAACATTTCTGCAATCTGATTAGGTTCAGTGTGAATCTGTAAGTTACCACCCTGCAATTGTGTTACTGCTTGCTGGAAGCCTTCTTTGCTTGATCACACCATAAAAATACTTCGTGTTATCATCTCCTAGCTTCAACATGTAGCCCTGCTTCTCTGGGCCAACAACATTTCCGCCAAATAGCTCACCCTCTTCAATCCAACCTCTTTCTCCTGTTTCAATAGTAGTAAACACGTAGGGTTAACCTGTAGTTGTTCTTGCACTGTTTTCACCCTTTCTCTTAAACTATTCACCTCACTATTAAGGTTGCTGAAGTACTGCACATGTAACCTTAATGTCTGTTTGAGCCCCTTCATTTCACTACAACTTTGTACATTTGACACCCTTCCACTTGTCTTTGCCATTCCAATGTAGTAATGTCTTTGCATTGTGGGTGAGCACTCCATATGTTGCAGTATTTAAAAGGTCTTTTCCGTTTAGGTTTATCAGCCAACAAACTAACATGTATTGGGCTGTGATCACTAGCTCCTTCATGCATAAAATGAGCTCGACACCCAGGCATCTCATCCAACAATTCTCCATTCATGAAGACCAATCCAGCTTAGAATACACTTTACTGTTCTCCCCCTTATCATTCCAAGTATAGGTGCTGCCGGTTCTAGCCATTTCCTCTAAAACACACACATCGAGCCATTCCTCAAATTCTGCCACTTCCGCAAGTGTTACTGGATTGCCACCCAGTCTATCCTCACTATGTAGAACAGCATTAAAGTCTCCAAGAATTCCCCAAGGATTTCTAATTCCAACTCCTATCTGAGTTAAATAACTCCACAATTCTTTCCTTTCCTCCCTCTCATTGGAAGCATAAACAAATGTCATGTAAAATTCCTTTTATAGAGGAATATAACTAACAAGACATGCCATTGCTTGTGCATTCTCACTGCAAATTGTTACCTCACACCTATCTTCTCTCCACAACACCCAAATCCTTCCATTATAATGGGAAGAAAGATTCGTATGATACTTCCACCTTCCAAATAGATTACCTGCTATATATATATATATATATATATATATGTTCTTCTTTTGATAAAGAACCTGCTATATATATTCTATATTGTTACTTCTTATTTTTGTCTCCAACAGACCAATAATGTTCACTTCAGCTGATTACAGAGGAGTTTGACCTCCTGTTTTGTGAGGCCATTTAGGCCCCTTACATTCCAACACACTACATTAACCATTCCCCTTAGGGATTGGTTTTGTAGCCCCACATTCCTGACTTGTTCTGCAGCCATCTCTTGCTCTCCCACTTGAGTCAAAGATTGGAATGAATTATTTACTACCACAGCTATAGACACGTTTGCGTTATCCTGAACCCTTTGCTTCCCATTGCCACACTGAACTCTCCTTGGTTCAAATCTCTTCTCCCTGCCTTTATCTTCTTGCTGTCTACCCGGTTCCTCTACCCCTGTCCCAGTAGTACTTTTTGGTATAGGATTTAACTTCCTACACTCTGCCTATAAATGGCCATACTTATGGCAATGCTCATATAAGGAAGGCTTCCAATCATAGGACACCTTCTGTGTAAGCACTACTCCCTTTTCATTCCGGAACATCACTTCTTCTGAAAGTTCATTACCCACCTTCACCTCTACTAACAATCTCGCAAAGCTTAGCCCCAATTTCTTTTCAGTGTGCTTATCAACCATTAAAGGCTTCCCCACTAGGCTTCCAGTCTTGCTCAACCCTTTTGCACTCCAATAGTTGAAGTCTAATCCAGGCAGCTTAATCCAAATAGGGACTGTCATTAATTCTTCCTTGGAAAACTCCATTTCAGGTGACCATCCTTTGAAAATAAGTGGCTTAAAGCTACTTAGTGTGTACAAGTTGTTATTCTAATTTAAACCAAACAATCCACAGATGGATTATTTGCCTGGGCTGCATTTTTCAAGTATCTAAGCAACACTGTACATAGTCCCTTCGGGACATCTGATAAAATTGGATCAGCACTGTAATTAGAAGCTCAAGAATATAATTCATTTTCTATTTGCAATAGACAGGTCTTCTTTGACATTTACATAATGAAATATTGTATCAATCTGTTATTTGATACATTATTTGCACTCACTATGAGCTTCTGTAGTCCTTTTGAGGATGTGGATTTTAGTTTATATTGTTCTGGAAGATTTTCGGACTTCCTGATTATTGACTTCTCAGAAAGTATTCTACTCCATACGAAGCAGGACACTCATAATATAAAGGACACAGTATTTTCTGGGGTTAGCTAAGCCAATATCTGATAGATGGTAATTCCTCACAATGCATCTTTTTTATTGGGCAAAATGAAAATGGTAAAATGCTAAATTTGAGCCATTTAAATGTTTGTTAGTCTGTGAATTCATAGGCATTGTTTGCATATTAAAATCTGCATACTGCAATTGGCAGTTTCTTAAGTTTGGCTCCCTCTCTTCTTTCATCAAAATTATCATTGTTGTCTACCGGTTGATAGGTTGTTATTTTCAGAAGTTTGGTCTATGTGTCACTTGTGATGATCCGAATATGCGCAGGCCGCAGAGGATTGTCGTGTATAGATATAGTTGTTCTTGTATGCTTTAATCATATTGGTCATCTATGATTATTCTTGATAATTTTTTCTGATTAACAAGTTCAGAGGTGGCTAGTTAATAATGTCATTCATGTTGTTTATTGGTTTGTTAAAGTATATTTCATATTTCACTAATTGTTAAGATTTTCAATTATTCAGGGTTTCCATAAAACTGATACAGATAGATGGGAATTTTTGAATGATAGCTTTGTCAAAGGCCAAAAGCATTTTTTAAAGAATATTGTTAGAAGGAAACAGTCCAGTGTGGCCCAAAAGAAACCATCCCAGCTGGAGGAGATCAAGTCTTGTACATCTGAAGAAAGTAAGAATCTTGAACTGTGGAAAGAAGTTGAGAATCTTAAGGATGAAAGAAATGTTCTCACGCAGGAGTTAGTCAAGCTTAAGGAACACCAGCAGAATTCAGAGAGTAAGTTGATACTTCTACGAGAACAACTAAAAGTCAGGGAGAAAAATCAACAACAGATGCTTTCCTTCATTGTTATGGCTATGCAAAGCCCAAGTTTTTTGGTTCAGTTTTTCCAGCCCAAGGAAAACAGTTGGTGTATGAGTGAGAATGGTAATAATATACTGAGTGAAGTTGAAGATGATTGCGTAGATACACCATCCGATCGAGCAATTGTGAGGTATCATCCTCCCACTCATGAAGAAGCTGCAGAGCCCCCCCTATGCGCTGAACCTGAACCTGCTTTGGATTCTCAGAAACCTATGGAGCTCGATTTTTCTTCCAATGAATTAAAAGATATGTTTTCCAATATAGATTTCTTCTCAGGATTAATGGATGAAAAGCTGCTTGCTTTTGAAAATAGGGTCCCTCTTACTTTGCCATATTATCCTGATGATGAGAACTTGTTGGAACAGCTGCTTTTGTCCAGTCCAATAACAGAGAATAAAGAAGGCGAAGTGATAGATAATCAAGCTTGCTCCCATGCTGTCATGGAGACTGACTTGTCATTCCAGCCAATAGAGTCTGGAACTTTTTCAGGTTCAGAGGAACCATTTCATAGTCTAGAAGATAAAAAGATGGAAATGGCTTTGCTGGAGACTCAGTCAGACAACTTAAGTAATATGGATATACTTACTGAACAGCTGGGGCATAGTAAATTCTGAAGGGAGCCCAACCCGCTTATACAAATTGCGAAGATCTATTGTTGAATCTTCCTTTCATTTTTAAACTCGTGAATATTGTAACTCAGTATGCATAGTTGAAATAGAAAAGAACACTGTACTTGATCTATGTTTCTTTCCATGCTGAAGATCTTTACCAATTGCAGTTGAATAGAGGTGCTGCTCAATCATGCAGTAATTATCTTCCTTTTTGAATCGAGGAGAGTATTTCAAAAGATAGTTGCCCACCTGAATTATGGGCTACATCCTCCACCAAATTAGCGATTAATAGAGTACTTTGAGATGAAGGGATCGAGTTATCCAGTGCTGGATGTTGTTACTCAGGTATAAGCTTTTGCCTGGGCACTTGAAAGCATGATCCATTTACAGTAGAGAGTAATTGTTTAAGATCTTGGTTTCCCAATCTGGAAAAGGTGTCAAACGACCAAATTCCACGAGTTTTAAGAGCATTGATGAAGAAAATCACCTTCAAGAACAATACGGAGAATTGAATTAATTAACTTAGGTTACCGCAAACCAAGTAATACATGATGAAACCTCTACTGAATACATAACTGTCATATGATCAGGATTGGGGCGTGATATAATCCTACTGTAACATATGCAGTCAAAGAGGAGTACTAGGTACCTCCTAGCTCATTGGTATAAGTGGAGCTCACCAAGTGTACTGTGTCTAATGAGAAGGTCTCTCAACCTATACATTAGATCCTGCAATGCCCAGTCATAGGGATGTAAGTACATATAAAACATGTACTCATATGTAAGACAGACAAAATAACAAGTAAACAAGTTAGGAAGCTCATGTGAATCGGGTACTAAACAAGAGCAAATGAAGGCAAGTTAATATCAAAAACACTACTTTATGAAATTATAACTCATGAGTCATGACTTAGCCTTATTAGCTCGTTATTCCAATTGTCTTTAGATTTTTCATTAGCAAGCTAAGTGAGCAAGCAATAGCTTATACATATGGATAACAATGTCTTGTATCTTTTCGAGTGATAAGCCTCGAGAGGGAAATCTTTGGTATATACATGAATAGCATAAGTTATCTTTTACAAGTGAGTGAGCCATTTATAAGTGATTCGATCTCGTATGTCTTATAGCACATGAAGGTACGATTGTAGAGGCTCACAAGTGTAGATCGGCTCGCAGGTAGGTATGCCATAAATGGCTCATCAAGGTGAACAGTAGAACAAATGCATCATGTTCCTGCTGATGAAATGTATACATGAGTAATGCCACAATGGGCAGGTACGCGAACCATGCATGACTCAACAAGTGATGGTCAGGGTCTCAACCTTGTGCACAACATAATCATCGCATTGCAATATGAAGATCATAGGAACGAATCATATACATGAACATGTGACATATGATAGTGTAACACCTTAGAAATTTTGTGTTAAGATCAGATCATGCCTATCAAAACCTAAGGGATTAAGTGGTCAAGAATCTGCAGAAAATGAATTTTTACGGACACGAATTGTCGAGGTCTTGTGAATCAACTTTAGAGACTTGGGTCACGAAGGCAAACCACAAGCCGTAAATGGAGCCACAGGCCGTGAATTGTCCTCGTAGAATGATGTGCAAGGAAGCTTAGTACTGTTTCTATTGGTTCACTTTTATGGACACAATCTACGGGCAGTAGATGGAATCATGGACCATAGATTGGTCTCGTGGATTGAACTTCAGAGACTAGAATTTTATCTTGAATTCCACGGATGGCATCTATGGACCGTAGATCATTCCACATACGTAGATGGCTTTTGCGGAAAGTTCCTACAATTTTTCTTTCAATGCTGCTTTGGTATTTTTTCAATCTTAACTCCTAAACTATGTCATTTTGGCCTATCTTAAGTGGGATTAGGGGAAAACAGTCGATTAACCCCCCCCC